GATCCACTTATGTCTGGATTTTTGTCTCCAAGAAATCTCCTCCCTCACAAAGTCTCCTCTAGCTCCTTTTTCAGTTTCCTCCTCATTTCTCTGTCTTGCTCATCCATCATCCCTTGGGATTCTTTTGCATCTAACTCCTCAATCTGAACCAATAATCTAGCTTTTACCTCCTCCACTCTTCCAAAATGAACTAAAGGGCCAAGACTTTTCCTTCCTTATTTCCGAACACACCCCAACTCCCGATTGACTTGGATTACCCAAGGAGCTTCCATCAAAGTTTAACTTCACCCTGAACTGAGGCGGTGGTACCCAACTTTTTTGTACCACAGGGGAGGAAGGAGAGGATACAGCTATAGCACTCCAATTTCTAATTAAGTCAGCTGAGGAGAAGTCCTTGAAGAGATGATGTACTTTTATCCAAGGCACAACCTTGATGGTGATAACCTCAATAGTGCTTCCTTGGATTTTTCTTGCCCTAGGAAGATCCTATTGTTTCTCTCCTCCCAAATTGACCAAAGGATGGCTGCTCTTGTTATTGTCCACATTACATTGCTTCTTTTCCTTGGTTTTCGGAGAAGAGGCTAGAGTAAAAAAGGTTCAACACACCCGAGGGGGGATTCCATCTGCAACCAAACAAAGAACCAATGCCATAAATAATAAGCAAAAGGACAAGAAATCAAAAGATGAGTTGCCGTCTCACCATTTCTTAAGCAAAGGTAACAGACATGTGGGGAAAGGCACCAATTTGGCCTTTTTCTTTGAAGCACATCCTTAGTATTGATCTTTTGAAGAGCCACTTCCCAGCAAAAAGCCCTAACCTTTGGTGGCACAGGAGAATACCAAACTTCTTTAGCAGGAAAAGAGACAGTCCAAATTCTACTATTTAGGCATGAAAGATCTAGGAAAACTGAACTCAACACAGTGAACAACTAATCTACAAAAGCCAATTCTGAATCCCTCAACCCTCTTCTCAAACCCAAATCTCAAGTCCCCTCAGACACACGAAGTGAGGAGATGGTTTTGAATTTATTTATTTAGGGGTGTTCCCAAGCCAAAGGTCCTCCCAAAACAGAATTTTATTACCTGAGCACACATCAAATCTAATGAAAGGCTGAAAGGAAGGAAAGACTCCAACAATTGCTTTCCAAGGGGAGAAATTAGAAGCCCTAGGGTCAACACCAATATCCCATCCATTAGCTGCCATCCCGTGAATACTTTCCACCACCAAGTGCCACAAATTGCCCTGCTCCAAAGGAAATCTCCACAACCACTTTCCTAACAAACTACATTTCTTAATCTGATATTGCCAATGCCTAGACCCCTGACTTCCTTTTTCTTAGAAACTACTTCCCACTTCACTATATGGTCCTTTTTTGAGTCACCCGGTTCCCATAGAAAGTCTCTCATGAGTTCTTTTAACTTATTGGCAACCTTGACAGAAAGCTTAAAGGTAGACAGAAAATACATCGGAAGGTTGGCTACAGTGGACTTGATTAAAGTGATTCTACCCCCTAGTGAGATATAAATTCTCTTCCACCCTGCTAGCTTCTTAGTGAATCTTTCCAAAACTGGGTACCAAAAGCTTTCTGTTTTAGGGTTTCCCCTCAGGGAGACCTAAATATACCAGAGGCCAACAACTTACCTCGCAACCTAAAGCCCTAGCCACCAATTGAATCTCATCTTCCCATAAATTCACCCCCGCTCACAACTCTTATTTCAATTGACTTTTAGATTGGAGACTCTCTCAAAATGCGTTACCACCAATCTCAAATTATCCATCTCCTCAGGTTCCCCTTCACAAAAGAGAATGATATCATCCACAAATTGTAGGTGAGTGACAATCACTTGTTGCCTTCCAACTCTCCAACCTTTTAGTAGATTTGTCCGACAAGGAATATGTTGGTCTCTTTACAGTGGGTGGGGAGATAAGCAAATACTTTGTCCAATGTGTTAGCCAAGCAAGGGGTAAATAGGGAAGAATTGTTTTGGGCTCAGCTGTGATTCCTGTATTTTTTCCTAGTTTAATTGTAAGATTCTAGGAGGGGCTGTAACTCGCGCCTCTCCCTTGGATGTTGTATGAAATCACAACTCTAAATCAATTTTTGAATTAATAAAATTTTACTATTACTCATAAAAAAATGATCAGAACTAGGGCTTCTTAGTCAATGATCAGAAATAAAAAAGAGAATAGAGGAAAGAGGAGAGGATTACTGAAGTTGGAACTCACAGAAGTTGGGTTGTTACTGCTCTGATACCATGTTTGCAAACCTGAAATGGAGTTTAGGGCAAGAAGAAGAGAGAATAGAGAAGAGAGAAGAGGGTGGATGGACGGAAAGTGTTTTCTCAGCTGGCTCAAAAGTAAAATTTATATTAAGTGTTTAATGGTACATAAAATGACTAATGTGCCCCTTATTGGTGAAGGCACAACCAGACACAAAATAAAAACTAATTCAGGCCCATTACAGAAATAAGGCTGACAAATAAAGAGGAAAAAGGTCCACACAATCACCCATTTATGGGATTTGTTTTTTGCTTTTTCTTTGCTAGAAATTCAAATGCATCCATTCTTGAATTTCTGTTTGTACTTAATTAAATATTGTTGACATTCTTTATTTTATCAAGACCACTTCTAGTGAAATCTATTTTCTGCTAATTTTGTTAGTTTTCTTTTCCGTTTCCAATATTGTGCTACTTGGGGGGCTATTTGACCACAGCTAAAGTGGCTAAACTGAAAAAAATTGTTTTGTCTTTTAGTAAGTTTTTAAGGAGGTTGCTGGCTCCTTGATGGCTGAAGCTGAAATTGGATAGATTACTATACCCTTGAATATTTTGTTATTTAATTATTTTATCCACTAAAAGACAGAGCAATAGGTTCTTAAGTTCAACAACTTAAGCTGTCATCAAATGGCCCCTTAGTTGGGGAACTCTTTAGATTCTATCTAATTTTCGTAAATAATAAAAATAATGGGCATATTACATGAGGACTTTCCTCCTGGATCTGGATTATAACTTTTTTGTTTGTTTGTTTCTTTTTTTTCAGTTGGAGTTGGCTTCCAAGAGAGACTTCGCAGAAACACCAAACATTTTAACTGATGTGGTATGTTGCTCTAAGATCAGTATTTCATGATGGATACAAAATTTAAGATACCTGTCAAGGACTACAAGGATGATATGTTAAGGGTTCTAATAGTCAACGTCCCAAACTAGCAGGGTTGATGGGTGGAATTAGCATTAGTTTGTCTAACCTAGTTACTACACAAACCATCATGGCTTTGTGATTCTTTTGGGTGGTTGAGAAAAATCTAAATGCAATGCCCATAAAAATGGTCATTATAAACCATGGGCCATCATATGTCATTGTAATTCATCCTTATGATGTATCCATAAGGTATCTTAGATTCTCTTTTGCATGATTGTATTATGCTTTCCTGTGTAAGAGACATCATTTAGTTGTTTAGCCGTATGCTTTACTACTGTTGACTGATTCTGCAGAATGTATCCATGAAACTATCGAAACATCTCCTTATCTGGACAGAGGAACAAATTTACTGGATTGCTTCTCGTTTCCTCATGTTGGGATTTGAACTGGATCTTTATTCTCCCACGGAGTACTGCATGGTGTATTGGTATATGTACGTTGTCTTGATCAAACTTGCAGAAGCAACACAACTCAGGATGGGGACAAGCAGTGACATTGGTGAGTATGCCATTTCATTTGTTTCTAGTCTGACATATCTCTCTATGTTAGTATAGCTAATATCTACTTGTGAGTTGTGACATCTACACAACTGACATACATGCATTAGAGTTAGATCCACTGCTTGACATCTGCCACCTCAGAGGTCTCCTGCAAGGTTCAAAGTATAATATAATATGCCCCATATCGTATTGATTTTCAAGGGAACCGGTATGCCACATATTAACAACTGCCATGGTTGATATGGTTTAAATTTTAATTTATATTGTGACTTTATCACCTGAGAACTTGTCAGAATTACACAGTAAAAACAAAAGGAGTTTTGGTCATTTGAAACTCTAGATACACAAAATCGTATTGAGAGTTTCGATACTTTGAACCATGGTCTCCTGTACCAGAAAAGGGAAAAGAAGCAACTGAAATATAAAAGTAACCTAATGAGATGATTGTAACCATCTGATTCTTCTCTTTTGCTTGTTCCAGAGTAAAATAGAAAATTTTTCCAAAGAGAAGCAATTTAATGGGTTGGTTATAATGATCTTATTAAGTGTTTGGGCAAAAGGGACTGATCCTACAAGTAGATCCATCATATAGTGGTCTAGTTCATTGGTAATACCTGGTTTCTAGTCTATATGCTCTTATGATCTTAGATTTCACATCCCCATTCACATGCAATCAAATGCCTAATGTCTGCACATTTCATGCTTCATAGTGTTTACTTGAGTCTACATGGGGAATCTCCTCTTGATAGAAAACATCTTTACTTGGTTTACATGGGACATACAAGATGATTGACCTTTGTCATTGATCAGCTAAACGTAAGGGGAAGAAGAAAAGGGATCTTCCAAAGGATTTGGCTAAGGATTCTCAGATCCCACCCATGGTTTTGTTGCTTCAGTGCTATATATGTCTCTCCGAAGGCCTCACAATGGTAAATATACTTATTTTAATTTAAGCATAATTTTTATTACTCATCTTTGATCATATTTGGATGCTCAGATGAACTCTGCTGGTGCAGACCTGAGACCTAAGGTAGACTTCATGTCTGCATCTTGGACCTACTCTTTCCAAAGGACCACTTGATCCATTAGTATGGAGCTTAAGTCCACTATGCTCATAGGTTTATGCCTTCTCAGATTCATGTAAATCAGGATAAAGGTTAGAGAAGATCCATCATCGTAGCTTCTGTAGATGCTTGGTTCTTATCATGAGTGGGCTATGGCCCTTAAAGGTCCTTCAGAGATTTCCTTGAAACTATCTATGTTCTTTCCCACATGTTCCATGTTTATGATGCATAGCCAACAGCTTATCCCTTCATGTAGGCATTCTGCTTCCCTTATATTGATTTGTATCATTAATCATATCAATTCTCCCAGATGCTTGCTGCTTTGAGGAATGAACATAAGATTTTCCAGAGACCAAGTGCATTTAATACTGAGGAAGAGGTATGCATTACTGTGTATATCTCATTTTTCATCCTTGAATATTTATTTTATGGATTAAATGTTGAACTGCTGTTAGAAAAGTTACTTAATCAATGCCGAAATGAGCTGAGTAAATTCTTAAACATATAGAATCGAAGTTTTTGTCACTTGGCTAGTTTCTAGTGTTGAAAGAAAATGCTACGCCAAGAAAATAGTTGTCAAAACATCACCTAGGATCAGGCATCTTTTTGAGTTTGCCTTGTGCCTTGCATTGGTGTTTTTACATAGAAGTACACCAATTTTATGTGCAGTTTATGTTACACTGTATCATACTGTATAAACAAGGATAAAGAACAAATAGGGCATTTTAGAAGACCAGTCTTCAATTAAAGAACCATAAAATAGGTATAGTAATCTGTTCACTAGATAGAGAATTAGAGATTCAACTAATAGCCTTCAACATGTTATTTCCATAAGAAACCTCTCCTTCTATTTCCCTTTTTAATCAATTTTATAAGCAAAACAGAGCATCATCTCTCTTCAGTAGAACAGGGGCTCTGCTTCTTTGCTTTTTTGTATTGTTTTACTTTGTAATCATTCCTCCACACCCTTCATTTTCCTTTTTTCATTGGAAAAAGGTAAGATAAATTTTATTAAAGATCAAACAGAATACAACAGGCCCCAAGGAAAAGGTCCCTGGCTAGGCACAAGCAAATGGACAAAATAGTAACTCTATTATATTCAACATAACAAAGAATATATCATTGTATTGTTTTCTTTCTTCATTTTCCCATTCATTAATTTATACATTTCATTTGTATATCCTTCTCCCATTATTAAAATAGGGGCTCTGTATCACTTTTAATGGTTGATACTTCAACTCAATGTTTCAAAAACTGACCCAGAAATGGAACCACTTTTGCCTCCAGTTTCTGAGTCAGTGGTTCAACCATCTGGCTTGAACAAGTTGACTCATGCTGTCATAAATAAAATATTTAGAATTTTATAATTTTACATCTTACATCAGTCTAAAAATTATAGATTGAAGATATAATAGACTGATGGAAGATGTAAAATAAATACACAATGCAAACATTGTTGCTTGTTGAAGAAAATGGTAAGGACTGATTGAAGATGTAAAATCAATGTATAAACTACAGATTTTTTGAGAAAAAAAGGGTAGTGCCGTAATAGACTGAAGAAAACCCTCTTCCTTTTGCTGTTTTAGTGACTGCACCAATTGTGTTTGCCGCCCAAGAGGGTGGTCACCGGTTCTGTTCACCGCTGCAGGTCATTGTCCACACTCCACATTTCATTGCTTTTGTCTTGGTAGCAGGTCTCAAGAGGTAGCCACCTTGCCTGTCTTGTTCATTGTTGGAAGGAGACATCACTGCTCACAGGTTCTATTTTCTGTTGGAAGAGGTTATCATCATTCACTTTTTGGCTTTAAAGAGGAAGTGAAGAGAAGAAGTGAATGGGTGTTGGGAAAGGAAAAATGAGAAGGAAAAAGTAAACCTGGTTTTGGGAAATGGAAATAATTGAATAGGTCCAATAGGATTATAGGACATTTGATTTCTTTTATTTTTTCTTTAAAGGCAACCCGCGAACTGTTAACCAGGCCAAACGGTTTGACAGTTAAACTGTCTGGGTCAATGGTTTTCTGACTGATTCAACAGTAAACTAAGATAGTTTGTCATGTACATAGATGACCACCTACAGCACCCATAAGAAGTGATCCGTTACAAATTCAAGGGGCTAGAAGGGCTAGGTGCAGATAAAAAAGGAAATGGGTTGAAGTAGTAGGAAATGATGCTCATAATTTAACAATGGATATGGCACCAAACAGAATGGAGTGGTGAAACAGGATTCGTGTAGCTAGGGGTGCAAGTTGGGCGGGCTGGGCCAGGTTTAAGCTCAACCCAGGTCTAACCCTAAGAATTGGGAGTAGGGCGTGAGCCCAGCCTGAGCCTGAGGTCAAGCTCGAACTATCCAACCTTGGGCTCAGCCCACACTGGAATTTGATGCACTTGGGTTGGGCAATCAGTCCACACTAAAATTTGATATAAATGCATGAGTATATGTATGCATATATGTATGGTTTACAATAGGTCTGTTCACAGGTCGGGTTGGGTCGGTTTACTGGCATTTTTGCAACCAATCCAACCTGGTCGGTTTACCTAGAAATGAAACCGAAACCGACCCAGTACTAAGTAAAATTGACCTGGTCGGTTTGAGTCGGTTTGGGTCGGTTTTGTGAATGATTCTCTCGGTGTGAACGGTAAAGGATTCAAGTCTAAGAAGTGAAGGCTGGATGCCTGGAAATTAAAAATGATTTGATGGATTAAAGATGGAATTTTATATATAATATGTATATTTCCGAAATAAAAAGCTGATATATATATATATATATATATTTCCACAAATATATTTATCAGATATATATTAAAACTGAAATATATCATATATATATAATATATCTGAAATATATTATATATAATATATATCTAAGTCGGTTCGGGTCCGTTCGGTTTATGTTTTTTTGTAACCCGAAACTGACCGGTGCTGAAGAAAAACCGGCCAACTCGGGTTGGATCAGACCAGGTTGGTCGGTTTGGGTCTTGTTATGAACAGCCCTAGTTTACAAAAAAAAAAGAAGTATGCATGTATGTATGCAAATGTGTCTATATATGCATAAATGTATGCACATAGTCAGACTGGACTTGGGCCAGGTTCAAGCTACCTACCTGAAAAATAAAAAGGACCGAACTTTTGGACCTAGGTCCAGTGTGAGGACAAAAAATCTAAGCCCAACCTGTGTTGAATTGTGGTTTGGGTCCGTCTGGGCTCGGGTTGGGCCCACCCAAATTGCACCCCTACATGTAGAGTGGGGATAAGGCTTATATTGATGATGATGGTGATCATCATCTGTGCATGGGAGACTGACTCCAATGTGGACTGTGTGATCTTCAGAACATTAAACATATGGCAGGTTAGAAGGGCTCCATACCCAACTAGCCCCAGGCTCAAGATTGTTCTTCTATGATATGCCAACGTTTTCAACTTGTTGTCGACCTGGACAGTTGGACCATTGACCTGGTTATGACTCCAGATCCAGTTAACCTATGATCCTCTAGATTGCAAAAAGCCATTGGGGCATTGACTTGGTCAATGATCCACCAACCTGGGCAGTTGGAATGCTGACCCATTCAATCTTTTCATCAGATTACCAGCATTTATATTTGTTTTTTGGATCTTTTTTTGTTGATATGACAATCATGGGTTGACCTGTTGAGCTAATTGGTTGAACTGAAAACTGGTGGTAGCCTCCAGATTCGTTTCTTTTTTTAATTAGCATATGTTTTATACTTGATATCTTGTATAATGTTTGTGAATCTGTGGGGTGGCTGTCTGACTATGCTTGTATCCAGATTTTATAGTCTGATGGAATTTTCTGAATTGTGAATTTATTTTATTAATATGCTTGCTATATACATTTTATTTTCCTTGCAGAGGTTCATTCAGCACTTTGAGCTCCTACAAAGAGCTCATGTCCCTGGTCATATCTCGTACATGTTGTTCAAAGAATCTACAAGCCATGCACAATTCTCTGTAAGTATTGATATAACTATTTCTATTGTTGTTTAATTTGTTGCCTGTACTTTAATTAATTGATCATCCACTGCTTCCCCCTGGAATGGTCAGACCCTAGTTAGATACAATTACTTTAAAGATGCTCAGAGGATTGCAAAAGAGCTTCGAAGTAGTTTCTCTAGTGATTCAGACAGGCTGGTGGAACTCCGTCAGATAGAGCAGGTTGCAGAGCACAACTGGATTGCCCTCAATGTCATTTGCCAAGCTGGGGCCGAGGATCCATCACTCAAAATTTCTTTTGAGTTCAGCCATCATCCTTGTTTCGCTATTGCCACAGTTAAGAGATCTTGAATTGAATTGCTTCTCTTACAGCCTATCCCAATTTTGAAACCCCAAGTAGGCTTTCATTAGTTTCAAAGAGTGCTTGTTGGTTTCTGTTCTACCAAAAAAGGAAAAAAAAGTGCCGGTTGGCAGCTGTAACATTAATTTTCTTTTAACTTTAAAGTTAATATTGATAAGAAAACTTGAGTTGATAATGAGTTAAGGGTACAAAGTTGTACCATTTATGTAAATTGCGGACTAGTTGAGATAGTGTTCATAATCTCAAGGGAAGATATGTCATTTCGAGAATGTGATATGAATTAATAATAAATGTTCAGTGACATTTGAATTGTGTAAAAGACAACAGATGAGGAAGCTTTGTAGTTATTTTGCATTTAATTTTGCCAGGCTATGATGAGGATTTTTTATAAGATTCAGATCTAGTTTCTTTTCTTTTCTCTTTCTCCTTTTCTGTGTGTGTGTGGTGGGGTGGGGGGTGGGCACCCAGATGCTACATTGAAGGCTGAAATGGGGAACCCAGACTGCCTAAATGATGAAGACCGAGCTTCATTAGCAGTGGTCTGTTGCAGTTTTGCCTTGCTATTTGCTAATGGTGGCACTGGTTTTCCCTGAGGCTATCTTTGGTTTGATAGAAAATGAGAAAAAAGAGTTGGGAGAAAGTTCTTAGGTAGTTTCACAAAATTTGTTGAAGGGATTTCTTTCAACTTTCTATTGCTCTCTTATTTTCCGTCAAACGATAACAAGAGAAGGTTTCAGAGTTCAAGGAGAAGGGAAAGAGAACCTAAATCTTTCGAGGAAAATGATGAAAATGGCTTTCTTTCATCTTTGCTTGTGTGAATGAGCTCAAGGTACATGATTGATTATCCAAAACACCTTTTCTTTTTCCTTTTTTTTTAATTCTCCGAAACATCAAACAGTAAAACCCTTTTCCACTGAATTTGCCAGCAAGTGAATTTACTCACGGGTTTGCCAGCGAGTGACTTACACAAGCACGCAGAAAATCTCTGTTCTTGGTTTCTCAAGAGATGGAAGAGTAGTAAATAATAATCCTTCTGATTTATTAGCGACTTCATTAGGTTGAATCTCATCTAAGATGCAAGAGCCTGTGTCATGTGCTGCCCATGGGCTCTCACAGGCTGTCGAACCTCTAGACAGCCAAAATTTTCCCTTCATGTCGTCGTAGGGATGTCAGCGGTCGGATTTGGTTCGGGATAGCCTATACAAATTTTGAAATGATTGTTAGTTGGAACAAAACAATAGACTTAAAACCGTCTAGATTATAATTTGGAATAAAAATGACAGTAAAATAATAAATAATTTATATTAATAAATTGAGTATTTTTAAGTTTTAACCAAAATTATCTTATATATTATCTATCAAAATTATCCTTTTAGACATAAAAATATAATAAAAAGTACAAGAAAACTAGAAAAACTTTATATATTATTGAAAAATAGTCAATTTAGAAAAAAAAAAAACACAAGAATCAGAACTTGACCAAATAATTAGAACACAATTACAGAACCAGAATCGATATTATCTATTCGGTTTGATCCAGTGGATGATTGGGTGGAATTGACCCACTGAGAGCCCTACTCATGTGCACCCAACTCTGTCCCATTCTCCACTGAAAAAATGGTTATATTTGACAGTCTCTCTGTTCACATGGCTATAACTGGGTTGTATTCGATCTGGATCCAGCCACATTTGAATCCAATTCAATTATTGAAATTTCATAGATGCATTTCATCCAAAATCTGAAACATTGGATATGGATTGGGTTCAATTTAAACCTGAATCCGCCTTATTATTGTTATTGAAACAAAAGAATTAAAAATTAAATAATGTTAATATATAATGAATTTATATAAATATAAAATACTGAATTTATTAATTATAAACTTTATATAATTATATAAAATATTTATACAAATACATAACTATACTATATATAGTATAAATGTAAATTGGGCTTGGATGGAATTAATTCCGGCACTCAATCCAATTATTAAATGGATGCAGTTTTAGTACATGTCTGGCATTGATGCTGCACTGGTGTATGGGTTAGAAGCACCATTTTCTCTGAAAACGCACCTTTTTTTTTTGTTTGGAAACGTTGCTGTTGGGTAGGATATTTCCTAGAGCAACAACAACGCTTTCTGTTTGATACCAATGCTCTAGGAAATGTTTTCAGCACTGCTACCTATTATATAGTGCCACATCATGTCTGTTACTATCACCTCATGTCCCTATTGGCAGTAATGAGCTGCAAATTCCAAGAAATGTCAAAGTCAACATTGCTTCAAGTCATGTCTTCCTGATTTTCAAGGTGCGACTTGAAACACCGTTTTTTATGAGAAAGCAGTTCCAAACAAACAGGCATTTTCTGGAGCACTGTTTTTTCTTACATGACACTAATATGTTGCCATTTTCTGGAGCAAACGGCATCATTGGATGTGGAATCGGATTCTACCCACCTTGAATTGCAGCCATACATTTGGATGTCAGGATAATTTTATGAGGAGGATCCGGGATTCTGAGTATGATACAACACATCAGCATGATATATGGGTCCCATGTGCATGGTGCTGACATGTCATATCATTAAACGGACTCCAAAAGTTTAAAGAGTTCACAGATGTGAATTCAAGTTTAAAACCCGAATCGGGCACAGATCAGGCCTTGCTGACGTGGAATGTCTGATGCTTTAGGGAAAGTACAGAGAAAAGAGCGGCCTCAAATCAATTGAAACCCAAACCAATCTTTTGACCTAAGTTCTTTTCTACGTCAAAAAGTAGCCAGTTGTTCAACATTATTTACAATTATGGGAATGGGTCCCACTGCTTGGATCCTAAGAAGAGACCATCCACTCTGCCAGTTGGTCCCCCAGCTGACGCGTTCCATCCCTGAATGAAAGCGAATTGCGAACCACACCTGAACCAAGCAGACCATAGAACCAGGAATAAGAACACCAACCACCCCGGAAGAAAAGACAAATTCGACCTTCATTCCTCTTCACTCCACATATGATAGTTGACAGATGCCTCTCCCTTTTACATTTGCTAATTGTTTGTCTTTTCCGTTACCAACAAAAGAAAAAGGTGTAAAGGGTATAGTTGTCTTTTCGTTGAAATGGATGTGAGATCTTCACGCTAACCACAGCTGGCACTTGCTGGTGGCCGCACGTGGCATGTAGATGAAAATGCCCATGGATCTAAAGCATATTACGAGTGACGTCCGTGTTCTCGGTATTCACCGTCTTAAGCGGTGTTTGGTTGCAAGTCCTATTTTGTCCAAGCAGGCAAACACCGGTTTTATTTACCGCCCTGTGTTTTTTGCTTCAAAAATGGAGAGGACTACAAAGAACCGGGATATTGGCCTGTTGGGGCAAGTGAGGCCGAGCATGTCTTGGCTGCCTTTGGGGATCGTGTGAGTGGAATTGGAAATGAATTCCATTTCCAAATTCCTACCCTTTGGATTTTAGGACTTAAAATGTGCTTAGTGCCTGTTTGGGAGAGAATTCACGTCAGTGCCCCATAGGTGCCTCACAGCACATTTCAACGGTGTATTGTAAACATCTTTCATTGACAATTTCGAGAGAGATTCCCAATGCACGCTGAGATGTGTATGTGGGGGTGCAGATTTGAACTAGTCTGATACAGTGATACCGCACATCTCATACATGAAGGGTCCCAATATCATGGTGAGATGTGCCATGTCAGATCATATTAACAGTGTTGGAATGTGTCTTTTAGTGTCTTCTCCAAATGTGCAACAACTTTTGTCTTTCCTATTAGGGCTGTCAATGGACTTAAGAAAGTCTAATACCCCATCCGAATATCCAACCTGATTAAAAATCTGAGTCTGGTTATTTTATAATATGTATTTATTTGAATAAAATAAGTATGTGTTTGGTTTAGTTTATCTTTTTTTATTTTGTATTTTATTTATTTATAAAACTAAGAAAAATAATAATTACAATCGTTTATGACAATTAGGTTTTACATCAGCTTAACAGTGAAAAATGCATGACTGTTTGTAAAAGTTTTTAAAAATAACTTCCATAAATGATAAACATGCACAAAAACCAAAATCCACTTTCATCATTTTGATGCATACAAAAGAACAAGAGAGAAACTACTAAATAATACTTATATAACAACGTTTATTAAACAAACACCCTGTAAATCAGAATTTGCAGTTTTGCACCAACCAATGCGGTCAAAGAATTACTTGGTGATTTCTGAATCACTCCTCCCATCAATGCAGTAACCTTACTTCAAATAATGCATCTAATTGAAGAATCTGATGCACACTTTAACAGGGTTCAATTGAATTGAGTTGAACTCAGTGAATTGAGCAAGCAATTGGTGTTGGGAAAATGGGGTGACTGTAATTTTGGAGGAGAAACTCTGAGGCATGTCTGAAGACACTGTCTTTAGAATGTTATTTGCCCCCATTCAGTTTCACTGAGTTTGCCGTTGGGTTACAGGCAAATTTGTTCCCAGGATATAACAGAGCCTTGGGTGAGAATTTGCAACCAGCAAAGTTGAAGAGTCTTCAAAGAAACTTTCTGTGAGACTGTAGCAGGTCGGACTAAGAGAGAGAGATAGTGAATTTCGAAATTGTGTGTTTTTGGAGTCTGATTCATGCTCCTTAAATAGTTTATGAAGATGTATGAAGAAAAGATAGGTGCTGGTTCAGAGAAGGCACCTTGAACAATCACAATTTCAAACATTGTGACTGTTTAAAAAGTAGTTAACAGTTAATGACTGTTAACTTTGAATTGTGCCTTTTGATCACACCCGATCGAATCATGACCATTGATCTCATCAACAGTGATCAACGGTCAGTATCGCATCAAAACCAAAGCCGCCCTTCACGAGCCACGTGGGTGCGAGCAAAGTGCGTCTCATTGCGCCACACACATGCGTGTGCACGCGTTGCACGGTATCGAACCCCCATACTCTCCTCTACTAATTCTAAGAAGTGTAAATCAACTCCTATTAAAATACTGAAAACAAAACTTATAATTTTCTAATGTGGAATAAATTTAAAATTGGATTTTACAACAATTGGTGGGCCTTACACCACTCCATCTCTCTATTACAAAATCCCACAAAAGGAGTAATTATGGTTCTGGTCCAAAGCTCAATCTGTCAGATCGTTTAAGCAAAAGTCCAGCAGTTCTTCGTGGGGGCCCATTAGGTCCAAACATGGAAAATTTTCTAAAAACAGAAAATAAGCCAATAAGGCTCTCTGTTGCAGAAGTGACATAATTCTGGCTGAGAAGACTTTAAGCTTACGTCCAAACGCAATCCAAGAGATCCGTCAGAAAGACGTGGTACGCTTGCACGGTGGAAACCGGAAAGGGACCAACCTAGACAGCTCCTTCTAGAAAAACCCCCGAAGTCAAAAACGAAGGCTGCTAAAGAAAAAAGTCAACAAATCAAACGGCTGATATTCACCCCAGAAGTTACCTGAGCGGGACCCAGTGGATGAAGCTTCCAATGGATGGCATTTATGTAATATAAATGGAAAACCAAGCCTAGATTGTGAAAGAAAATTCAAAATTCTGCTGCGTTTAATCTGTTGCCAGCTGGCAATCTTTTAGCTTTTCCTCGTTCCAACGCTGCTCTATGCTTTCTCTCTCATGGTGTCTCCCGAGTTGTCCCGAGTCCCGACTGTCATTCTTGTTATAGTCTAGCTTCAGTTCAGATAAGATCAGCACCAGTCCATCAATGATCTCATAGATCTGGGTACAAGTTAATCTGGTAATACCGTAATTAAATCAATGCATGTCGAACATAGATATGTGCCACGTATGAATGACGTCGTTGTTTTAATATCAAAAGGACCAAAGTTAAATTGTAGTATATTACATTTTTAATAAGGAGTATTACATCATAGATGGTAGATTCTGACCGAGGTAAAAGAATTAGAGTTGACTGTGGTTAAGGCGCGCGCAGGAGAAAATCAGAAATCTCTCTCTCTCTCTCTCTAAAATTGAAAAATGAAAATATAAAAAATTTGTTAACGACGCCGACGACCCAACCAATTATTCAATTTTCTTTTCTCTGAATTTTTGGGTGGTCGCCGACCATACCAGCTCGACGCTGCCTCTTCTCGTCTCCTCCCTCCCTCAGACCTTCTCTCTCTCTCTGACAGTCTGACTCTGTGTTGATTCAGATTGAGGTAAGTTTGAGTTCTCTGATCTCTCTTCGATTCGCTTTCGTACTGAATTCGAAGGAATAACAAGAACGCACTCTTTTTTCTTGTCAGTTTTTTTGGTTATGAGAGTAACCAAGAGTATTGTATATTTCATTTTGCTTGTTTTCTGCTCGATTAGATCGAGTTCATTTTGTTTTTTTACCTTTTCTTCTTTGTTCGTATGCTTCCTTTTTGATTTCACCATAGGCAATGTTTTTCTGTTCTTGACTTCTTGTTGTTGTTCATGATGTTTTTTAGAATCTATGTTTTGGCTTTTCTTATCTCTTTCTGGTTTGGTTTCGAAGTAAATGATGATGGTTCAGTTTTGTCTGTGCTGTATTAGTTCGGTTACCGTTTTGCAGTACAGAAATTGTGTTGGTTGGAGTTCTCGGGTTGAGACATCCGGTGTCGATTGGGAATATTTTTGTCTTCCGTTTTCCATTTCGAATTATTTGATGTTGATTTGGATTTACTGACGTAATTGGAGGCTGTAAAGCTTTGATTTGGACTCTATAGATCTATATGAGTTTCATGGAGTTGTGTGTTTCATTTTTATCTGCTGAGGTTATTAACACTCATTTTCTTGCTTGCCAATTGGCAATTGCTGCCGCTATGTAAAATTCTGAACTTCGGCTGTACGAATTGTCTCATATAATCAGGGAAATCTAAATTCCAAATATTAGTTCTTATTGGCAAATAACAAATGTTCCGATTAGAAATTTCAAGTGCTTAACTGATTTGGCCTTGTAATCGTTCAAAATTATTTATCCTAGCCATATTATTTTCAAATCATGCTTAAGTTCTCTACTGAGGCTGTAGAATGTGAAAAAAAAAGAAAATAATAAATATAAGGGATGGAGCTCCTCTGTTCTGTCTTTGTAGAACACTGTAATCGGGAGAGCATGTCTGGAGGAGGTACACAAAAGAGCTTGAGGAAAGCCCTTGGAGCCATCAAAGACTCCACTACTGTTGGGTTGGCCAAAGTTAACAGTGATTACAAGGTGAGATAAGTTAAATCTTAATGAGAATAATTATGGAGTTGGGTAATCTTCAGTTTTTTAAAGGTAGATATTGAATTTGACAGGAGTTAGATATTGCCATTGTTAAGGCCACAAATCATGTCGAACGCCCGGCAAAAGAAAAACATATAAAGGGTGAGTGGTTGCCTCTCTCTCTCTACATATACAAGCATCTAGCTTTAGTTACCTGTGTTGTTCTGTGCTTCAATATCCGAATAGCTTCTTGAACCATGGCTTTGATCATGTTTCACTTTAAAGGCTTTGTTTCTTTCTCTCCTTTAGGAAAGATTAGCATATTGTTACATCTTTGAATTACCTATTCTTCATTCTGATAATATATCTTGTCATTGGATGTGTAGTACTTACCACATCCAGCTATTTCTCAAAGTTTACGTTTTTTTTTTATGTTTATTTATTGAAAGAGTGTCTTTGCTTTAATTATTTCTATAGAAGACATTCTTATCTTGCTTCAAGAAGGAGAGAAATTCAAGTCATCTTCTGTGTCCTGTTAAATTGGTTTGTCAATCTGTTGTATGACCCTTGGGTTAATCTCATCCTACTTTACCTAACCTCCATGACACCAGATTCTGTGTCTTATGGAGTTGTATATGTTCCTTTCTGCTCATAATTTTTCTGATTTTCTCCTCTCTTACAAAAGATTATTGATAAATCAGGATCTTTTCATTTTGTTTTTCAGCTATTTTTGCTGCAATTTCGGCTACAAGGCCTCGTGCTGATGTTGCCTACTGCATCCATGCTCTTGCCAGGCGTCTTGCAAAGACACATAATTGGGCGGTATGTGAATTGTAAAATCACATTGTATGCTAGATTAACTAAACATGGGGAGATGGAATTGCTTTTAACCTAAAAGCAACAAATGTCATTTGTTGCTTTTAGGGGTATAATATAAAGACTATTTGGTTTGTCTTTTTTTATAAGATTTTGGTTTACTTTGTGTCATTTCTTGCTTATTAACCCCTCAGTCTACTTTTCTATCAAAGTACCACTTCTTAGTTTTGTTCATATGCTATTTTGATATCCTGAGCTGTGAAGAGGGTACTTTTTCTGCTGCTTTTTAACTTTGAATGGTTGGTTATACCTCTTTCACATGGATCCAGTCTTACATGGATAACTTGGTTATATCCTGCTAATGACAATTGTCAGTTACTTATATTCAACGTTTATGTTGTTAAATTATGGTTTCAGTGTCGATCAATTTAATTGTATTTCTTGGAATTTGGCTGACACAGTTTTCTTCTTGGTGTTTAGGTTGCTTTGAAAACACTGATTGTTATACATCGTGCTTTGAGAGAAGTGGACCCCACTTTTCGTGAGGAACTCATTAATTATGGCAGGAGCAGAAGCCACATTCTCAACATGGCTCACTTCAAAGATGATTCCAGTCCAAATGGTACTAATTCTTCTAAGGAAATGCTTTCCATATGATTTCAAAATGCAAATAAATCTTTTGTGTGACTTCTCTATTGATGACATGTTCAGCATGGGATTATTCTGCATGGGTCCGTACATATGCTTTATTCTTAGAGGAGAGGTTGGAATGCTTCCATGTGTTGAAGTATGATGTTGAGACAGATCGCCTGGTAAGAATATTATTCGGTTGAATCTAAGAACATTATTTTTCTGTTTCAAATTTCCCTGATTTAAGGTCTGTTATTTGTCTTTGTTTTACATTCTTTTCCTTGAATTAAATAATTTTATCTGGTACTAAACACGGAAAAAGAAAGACAAATAAGGTGGATTAAAGAAATGAGCTTCACTTCAGTATTGCATTCTTACTCTAAAGATTTCCAGTCTGCTATTTTGGGTAAAAAAGGAAAAAATGATCCATTAGTACTATTGCAAAATCTGTTCAATCTTTTAGTTGAAGACATGTTCGGATGGAGTAAGAATTGCTTCACTTCCATTGTGGCATTGACATGTGAAGAACTTCTTGTCCTTTTAAAGGGTAAGGGTAAAAATTTGTGACTGAAAATTTATGCTTCTAGATCAAGATGTGTCTGATGCAGGCAGATCCTAGATGAACGTGAATTGCTCCATTTTGCCCAAAGTTCTATATATTTTTTTTGATAAATCAAGGTTTTATAACTTTTTGATGGTGTTTTGATAACAAATGGAAGAAATGACAAATGAAATAGAGATAAAGTGAGGGATAGCTTTTGCTGATAAAAAAAAACCAGTGAGGGATAGCTTTCTTTCTTTTGAATGGTAATGGTCCAAATATTATGTTGAAAGAGAACATGAAAAGTAATGTACAAGTTGAACATGCCAATGCAGAACAGAGTCCACCCATGGTTATGCAGTCAGCTGGCTAAATACTTACATGTTCTCTTTAGCCTTAGTGTTTAAGACCCTTGGAATCCATTTCAAGACAGATGAATTAGGCATTAAAAGATGTCTAATCTCATAAAGCAAGTAGGAGAGGCTCTGTCAGTATCAGGTGGGATATTGATAAGAGTCCGAGTAGCAAGTCCAATCCTTTGGGTTAGAGTTTCACCAAGAGAAGGAGATGGTGGAGTTTCATGACTATGAGAGGGAGGGTTCTAACTTTGCAAGCAAATAACATAGTTGCAGAGCAAAAAAAGGTTGCTTTTTAATTTGGCAAAAGAGAATACTGATAACAGCTACTTGAGCAAAGTCTAGTGTTCTTACTGGGGAAAGAACATATTTCTTAGGCCTTGCTTTTGGCTCAAAATTGGGTGTTTTTCCTTTTTGTATTTCAAACCTACATTATTGTTGGGGGTTGATTATGAATTCACACCTTAATTTCACTTACCTTTTTATTTATGGTGGTGGATAGGTTTACCTAGAATAGTGATTTGATTTGAGAAGTATATTGCTATTTTCATTCTTGATTATAATTTTGTCTGCTGCTGACAGAGAACCAAGGATCTGGACACTGTTGAATTGCTTGAGCAGTTACCAGCTTTGCAACAGCTTCTTTTTCGTGTACTTGGTTGCCAGGTAACATTTATAAATTACTCTTCATAGTTAATAGGTTTTCATCCCACTTAGTAGTGTTGTTATTACATGATTATTCAAACAGTAAATATTTTCTGCAGTGCTTGATGTTATTCATAAGAAACCATTTATATTGTAATTCATATGCAGCCCCAAGGAGCAGCAGTTTATAATTTTGTGATTCAGTTAGCAGTGTCAATGGTAAGTAAATTTTGTAGGTGTTTTGCTTTCTTTCTCATGGTCTAGATGAATGACTTTATAATGGCATTCTTATCCCTTGTTTACTTTTTTCCCCATTTTGATAGGTTGCTTCAGAGAGCATCAAGATTTACAATGCCATTACTGATGGCACAGTTAATTTGGTTGACAAGGTATAGTTGTTATTCTTCTCCATGGGTGAATAACTTGGCTATTAAGTAAATCATTTAGAAATAACAAATGGATTGTTACAGTTCTTTGAGATGCAACGCCATGATGCCATTAAGGGTCTTGAGATATACAGGAGGGCAGGACAACAGGTATGCATTTTCATACATTGATTATTCTTACGATTTAGTGCTCAGAAGTCAGAAATACCATCCTAGCCTTATGTTGTTTGTAAATGGGAGGAATTTCCACTTTCATGTTTTTTTTTTTTTGTTTTAATTTCTCTGTCTCCTCGCTTTCAGGCAGAGAGATTGTCAGAGTTCTATGAAATATGTAAAAGCCTTGATCTTGGGCGTGGAGAAAGATTCATCAAGATCGAGCAGGTATTTGTCTATCTAGTCAACCTCCACTTATAGCCTTTTCTTTATTTGGATGATTTAAATTGTTTTAATGTTTTCCGTTTATTTTTCCATCAATTTAACTTTTTCTTAGTCATTTATTTGTAAATAATGCAGCCTCCTGCATCATTTCTAACGGCCATGGAAGAGTATGCGAAAGATGCTCCCCGAGCCTCAACAGTTCGCAAGGATCAGGTATGGAATTCCTCTTGGTAATTAGCAATAAATTCAGCTCAAATGGTTAAAAATACTATAAAGATGAACTACACTAAGTCATGCAAAGAAATATAAAATACAGTTTGCTACTAGGAATTAGAATGAACTTTGAAATTGGTTTATGGATGATTGCATACAAGTTCTTCCATGTTGGCTTGTTAAAAAATATCTGTAAATAGTGACTGGCTTGTTGTAGACCTGTTCCTGGGCTGAACCAGGCTTTGACTCTTTATTAACAGAAAATGTCCAGGGCCCAAGCCCGAGCCCAGCCTGACCATCGGGCTGAGCCCAGCCCTTATATAAAGCCCAAAGCCTGGTCTGGACATAAAAGTCCTACCTACAGTGTAATTTAATAAACTATTATTAATATACAATTATACATTTTTATTATATGTAATATTATTAGTCTGGGCTTATTTGAGAAAGCCCAAGCCTGGCTTGAAAAATTGATGGGCCTGGTGCTTAGAGCCCGAGTCCAATCCTGTGGGCCTAAAATTTTGTCCAAGCCCAATAAAGAACGGGTTGGGCTGGGCCAGCTCATCGGTACTCAGTCTACAAACTGATCTAGCTTATCATCATGGGGAATAATTATTCTCAATATCCGTACAGGGTCGATTGGGTGAACTCACTAGACAACCCACCTATTTCTGTCATTGGAGCAATCCTATTGCTAATACAAACCATCCATTGGATCCCATAGTTCATATGATTGCTATACCCACCTTGTATTAGCAAACCATCCATTTGCTAATACAATCCTATTTCTTAGGTCATTTAGGAAAGCTCATTAAATGATCTGACCATCCAACCTATGTGCAAACGTTTTGGACATGGCTTTCTCTTATCCCTTTGAGAACTTCAACTTGAACACCTCTTTGTGGCTAACTTGAACTGAAATACTGAGGTTCCATACCTACTAGATATTTGTCCACATTTTCAGTTTTGTTGATTGTATGTAAATGATTCCTGGTTACCTGTTAAGTATTTGTTTTTGGATATTATTTGTGTGTGTGATGCAAGCAAGATTATGGAGGCAAAAGGCAAGGACATTTTCAAATTGCAGGAATTAACAAGAGCTTGAGGTTGCTTGGTAAACAAAAGAAACGAGAGAAGAATGCAAAAAGAGAATTATAGAAAAAGATACGATCACTAGCAGAGTCTCACTACTGGATTTCAGTTTATCTGCTAGAACCTCACTAACCAAGAAAAAAAGAGGACTGGAGTTTCACTACTGAGAAGAAGAAAACCTCTTCTTCAAAATAAACTTGTGGAGCTTAAATATAGTTTTCCATTAATTTGGGCGAAACAGAATATGTGCTATTTATTGGCAAGGCTGGTGTTCCTTAAGGTGAAATGGGAGTCTATCTTGCAAAGAAAATTTCTTACCAAAAGAGAAGAAGAGAAGTCTTGCCAAATTTAATTTAACTTTTATATATAGAGAGAGAGATAATTCTCTAGAATACTCCAGAAGTGTCCACGCAGTATCTGGTATTGTATTAGTTACATTTTGTGTCCAAAACCAGTATGTACAGGTCAAGGTTCAAAGTATCTATACGATACGAGTTTCGGCCGTATCGTATCGGTACTTAGAAACGGCCGAAACACTTATTTTTTTTGTAGTTTTTTTTCAAACTTTAGTTTTTTGGAAAGATTATAGGCTGTTTTTTATTATTAAAAAAATGGGGGTCCGAAACACCTGGAAACAGGCGTTTCGGACTGTATCATTTGTAAAAAGATACGATACGATACGCCCGATATGGGGCATATCGTATCGATACTTTGAACCTTGGTACAGGTATCCAGGTATCATAATTTCCCAATGAGGTGTCTTTATTCTTGCTCATCAGCTTTCTCCAAAAGTGACCACTTATTTTTGTCATTTCAGTAGCATTATGAATATGATCAAGGTTTTCTAGGAACACGGATAATTTTATGGGAAAAATATTAATTTCTTGTTCATCATCATCATCATTACTACTACTACTATAGGCTCACCATGTTTCCTTTTTTCCTTTCATGTAAGGTCATTGATAAAATTGATGCTCCAAAGGTGGTTTTAGCTATAGAGTATAAGAAGACCCCTGAAGTGCAGGAGGAACGTCCACCATCCCCACCTCCACCAGAACCAGTTAAAGTTGAAGATTCTGTTTCTGAACAACCAGATTTATTGGTAATTTCTCAACCCATACTTTCTTCATTTAATTTAACCTGATCATTTTAATAATTCTGAGCCAGTCTCCCTGACAATATTGGTTACTTGGTAACTAGGATTTGAAGGACCCCACCCCTGCTGCATCGGAACTGGATGAACAAAATGCTCTGGCTCTGGCTATTGTTCCAGTTGGTGAGTTCCCCATTAAGAGCAATAATAAAATTAAGTAGCTAATGATATGAAGATCTTATTCTTTATGTAAAGGACTTTATTCATGGGTTTTGCAACTTTTGCCTCTTAACTCTATTATATGTTACAATCTATTCTTGCCATGGGGAAAATAAAAAGAAAATGATACTTAGAAGTTACTTTGTGTTTTGAATTCACAAAATTTTCTTATTATCTTGGTTTTGAAATTGGATTTGTTTTCCAGTTGAAATCAATAGTTAGAAATTATTTTTTCCGGTGGGGTGTTGCAGCTGATCCATCAACTGCCAACCCTTCTGGTCCTCCTGTAAATGGAACTACAGGCTGGGAATTGGCACTTGTAACTGCTCCAAGCTCAAATGAGAGTGCTACAGCTGCAAGCAAACTGGTATTGTTCTCATGTTCTGCAATTTGTCTCTTTCATGAGTTTCCTGTTGCTGAATCATTTACCATTCAATTGTCACTGGATCTGGGGGTTGGTTTAGTAAAATTTATTCATCCAATTATCCTAGAATTTAAAAACAGTTTTGCTTTTATGATGTTTGAGCCTAAGACTGAGTAGCTTTTGGAAGCAAGAATGCCATATGGTATATAAATGTGATAGGTTCTCTTAACGATGAATTATCAAGTCAAAATAGATGGGCTGAAGAAGCTATTGATCTGTATTATACATAGTTGGCATATAACCATGATGTTTAGAACCTGCCTTTTGATCTGTGTTGTACATGGAGGGCATATCCAAGGTTGTTGGCACTCACCATTGGTAGTCCTCGTAGAGATATTTTTTGGTACAAAAACTAAAACTGCAATTGGCCAAGTTCTCTTCATACTAATGTATTGAAGCTGGAAAGTCAATAAATCAGATGTTTGAGATTATCTGGTTCTATTGATTTGTCCCAGTAGATGTCCTTGGCAGAAACAGAAACTGGAGTCCCCTGCCAACTCATGCATGCATGTGTAAAGGACAAGAAAGGGGGTTCCTTCCTATCTTTTTTTTTTTTTGTGCTTATGGGTCAAAATGGGAAACAGACACAAAAAAAAAAAGAAAAAGCAAAATTGTTGTATAACAGTCGTACTAATACTTTTTAACTTGGGATAAAGGCTGGAGGGCTGGACAAGCTTACATTGGACAGCTTATACGATGATGCGCTTAGGCGAGCCAACCAGAATGTCAGCTACAATCCATGGGAGCCAATGCCTATGACAGGACCAATGATGCAACGACCAGCACATGATCCATTCCTTGCCTCGGGTGCAGTGGCCACACCCCCTTCTGTTCAGATGGCAGCAATGGCCCAGCAACAGCAAGCTTTCATGTTGCAACAGCAACAGATGATGATGATGGGTCCACAGCACCAACAGCCTTCAAATCCTTTTGGTAATCCGAATGGAGCCGGAGTCCACCCATATGGCCCTGGTGTGCCCATGCAAACCTACAATCCCTATAATACAGGACTCATTTAGAACTGGAAGTCGTTTTCTGAGAAAATGAAGGAGATGAGAAGACAGGTGGCCACTGGGGTTTTTGTTGAGGCCGAGAGAAAGAACTGGTCTTCACACGTTTGTGTAACATATGTATGTGTAGTTGGTAGCGTAAGATTGTTGTTCAGTTATAGGGGGAGAGTTCTTGGGTATTGATTATTCATGAAGAAGGGTTCCTAATAATGTTACCAAGATTTTGTGACCTGCATTCTGTTGTTAGTGATTAAGCAGGAAGCTCAATTCTTTTCATTATTGAGAATTAGGTTTTCAAAAAGAAAGGTGGATGATTTGTAAACTTTTGAGATATGAATGAATTAAGGATACAAAAATCTTGGTTAAGATTGGATATGAAAGGATTGATGGTTCAGCATAGTGCTTGTGATTTGTTGTATCCTATTTTTTAACTACTGAACTTTTTGATTTTCTTGTATCAACTTGTTCCTGTTTGTGTGATTTCTGACCAAGAGACAGAATCATGCATGCATCAAGGTTCTCAGCGTATGTGATTTCTGTATTGTACGATACAGAATCATATATGCATCAATATACGTTGTATATTGAATTGAATTGGGTCTAATTGTTGATAGGTTTAAACAGTAATGATCATGTCAAGGTACAATTCTCTAAACTGAAAAATAATAATAATAATAAAAGAGCATCGTACTGGTTAATTGATGCTCAATTTTTAAGGCTCACTTGGAAAGAGTTTAAATACAAATATGCAAGTTTAAAATATCGATAATAACGGCGTATCAGGCGATATTGATAGTGTTTTCATTCCTTTTATATATATATATATATATATGCAAGTTCAAAATTTCTTAAAATCAGGGGAGTTGGTTTAAGACGACTCCACCTCCTGATTCAGTCAAAACCCCAATATATCTCCTGTAGGGGCGTATCAGAAAGTCACCAAACTGATATGTATTAATACTTTAAACCTTGTAAATATGTACGATGTAAATACAAACAAAATAATAATATTTGTACTCTACATATATTTATACCCTTTTCGTCTAAGTATCGATTATCGAATGCATCAAAGCATGCAGTGTAGCATGTTTGGTGCCACATCCAAGGTTTATCCATACATTGCTGCCTTATCATTTTATTTTTTGTATCACATTTCAACCTTATCTTGCTATTCCAATTTCCACCCGTACCCTTGCCGTGAGTATCGGCCACATATTGGTTGTGTACTTGTGTATCGGTGCCGATGGAGACAGTCACAAATTGATAAACTTTTTTTTTTTTTGGCGTCACAAACTGATAAACCTGATATGAAACCATTACTGACCTAATTTTTATAATTTAATATCATTGGTTTGTTAATATAACTCATTAACTCCATATATGTAACCACATCAAGTCTTAAGGCCCATTGTTCACCCAAAAAACAAAAAAAAATAAAAAATAAAAACTCTTAAGGCCCATTTCGATCATAGGAATCGGGGTCTGGAATCAGTCCATTTTGATTTCAATTGTTTTGTTATGTAGAATCATTACCCCTTTTGAAGACCCCGATTTCCTGGAATCCTTTCTATTCATCTGATTGATCCCCATTTGAGTCAAACAGATTATGGGAATAGACCATTCCAATTTTGATTTTAACTGCAAATCAAACAGACCCTTAATTTCATATTTCGAATTCATAAACCATTCACTCACTCCACTCCCATTAATTTAAATGAACCTTAATAACTCCTAATAATAATTCCCACTTTAAATTTAAAAGCTTCTACTAAAAAATCATGCCAATTGGAAACTTTACTTATACATACATATTATATATATATATAATAAAAAAATAAAACTATTCCAATTATAGTTAAAATTAATAATTTTTAGTTATCATTGAGATTTATATTATTTTACTTATCTATACATGCATGCTTTAATTCCTCTGCTGAGTGTTCTTTGGTGTATTCTGGTAATTCAAACTCCATATAAACCATCATAATATGTGTTTTATATTTTATTCTTGAATCTAACCATCAATACAGAGAATATTTTGATGGCAACACTTTTTATTGTTACTTTTTTTGAGACTTTTTACTTTTACTTTTTAGGATTTGGCATTGATGCTGTTTTTTTTTTAGAAAATGACACCACATTGGTGCCATGTCAGAAAAAGTGGTGATTCAGAAAACGACGTCTTATTTGACATTGATTTTCCAAAAAAAATGTTGCTCCAAACCACATCTTGAAAATCAGGAAAGTGTGGTATGAGGAAACGTCAATTTCAATGTTTTTTCTCAGAGAACAGCCCATTGCTGCTGGTGGTGCAATGATGTGGCATCATCTTGGGCGTTGGACAATATAGACCAATGCCTGAAACGATTATAAAGCACTGGTACTAAACAAAACCACTGCTATTTTCCCAGAAAACAGCCTATGTGGCAGCATCGATGCCAAACAAAAAAAGGAGTCATTTTCAATGCAACAGGCCCTTATGAATATAACACCGTTTTCTCAAGAAACATCTCTGAAGCAACGCATGGATGCCGAACACCTACTTAGAATATCCGTGACCCTGAAAACTGATATTAGGTCAATATGCATTAATACGTTGCACTATTTTGAACCTTGAATTTTTTATTCACACTTATTTTAACCTCGAATTAGTGTCACGTGTTTTTTGGGTTTTATCTAAATTCCATTAGTGTATTTACATACATCTTAATTTTTTTTCACCATATACCCATGTATTTTGATTTTTCAAACTGTATATCCTGATAATTCCAATATTATATAGCATTCAGCCGCACATTGAATATCTCCCATATTTTAAAAAAAGAATATCTCCCATACATATATGTTAAATTTACGAGATATTTCCAATATGTAACCGAACTCCGATGCTTTAGATTATGTGCAAGATTTTGCTTGCAGGGAATATGAACTTTTCACAAAGACCCTGATTGCTGATGACCAGGTCAGCTGAATGAGTTGGGACCTGCTCCTAATAAAACCCGTTCCAACTCGCTTACAACATGATCCGACACCACACATCCACATAATCATGTTGGAAAACCTTAATTTTGTTGGGAGCAGATATGGTGTCTAGCTGAATCGTCAGTTGGTTTCACCCCATTCGCGTCCCACATCACATCACAACCGTGTATCTGTGGGGAGCCAATGCTATCACCCCACCTCCGAATATGGAGGCGCGGGATCAAACGTGCGTAGTTGCAAGTTGCCCACTTACCCGCGGTGAGATGAGAGTGGGCCATAGATCGAGATTGGTATGGGGGCCCATTAATCAAAAGACCCAAAATACTTTTAATTCAGAGTTCTATTTGTAGCGCTGGACCCATCACAATACACCACGTCATCAGTTAAACCTGTGACACTTTGAACCCATCAACCGTCATGAAACGTACGGAGAGAGAAGTTACGAAGACTCCTCCTTCACATTCACATTCACATTCACGACTCTACTCTCCTATCTCCAACTACTGCTCCAATTTCCATATTTCCAACTAACCAAATATAAATTAAAAAAATTAAAAAAAAAGAAAGAAAGAGAATTCAGATTTCAGAGGAAGGCTTTCAGCGCTCCCATTCGACATTCTTGTTCTGTTGTTCTTCGACATCTCTCTCTCTCTCTCTCTCTCTCTCAGTTTCTTAAGATGTCTTGGCTTTCAATTCCACTCCCAAATCCGTTCAAATCGCAGGAATCCGATGAAGAGAATTCACCAGGGAAAGAAGAGGAGGATTCAGAAGAAGAGAGCTCCTCTAATGTAGGAGTGAAGGAAGACTTATCAGAGCTCGGAAAAACCATTGGCCGGCAGCTCTGGGGGATGGCGTCCTTCCTCGCTCATCCGCCAGTTTCTGCTTCCTCCTCTGACGCTGTCGATTCTTCGAGTTCTTCTCCTTCTCCTTCTTCCCAGGCGTTTGTTGGTATTCGGAATGATTTTGCAGAGATACGTGGTAGCTTCAAGTCGGGTCTTTCTCTATTGTCTAACAATATGGCTGTTAGTGAGATTTCGAGGTTGGCCTCGAACCTATTACAGTTCCAGGAAGAAGATGAGGAGGAGGAGGGAGATGGAGATGACTCTTCTGGGAAGAATCATGGTGGCGGTGATGGCATTGCTGGGGTTACGGATGAGGTTTCGGTATTCGTTCAGGAGATGTCAATGCGACCGGAATTCTGGCTTGATTTCCCAATGATAATGGATGATGGTAATCGATCTTTTTGCTTTTTGTTACAAATTCGATCAGTGAATTCTTTTGTTTATTCAGTTTTTGATAAATGGTAATCGAATTTTTATGTAAAGCTAATTGCTTTTATACTGGTTTAGGTGTTTCTGCAGTTTCGGTTATTGAATTGTTTCTTGTTGTCGTTATTGTTAATTACTAGTTGAAAAGATTGAGTATTTGGAATCATTTATCTGTCAAAGATGGTCACTTGGGGGCCCTGTAAAGAGACTCTAGGTTTATTGATGTTTTTCAAGTTTTGCGCAGAAAAATCTTTGGGGGGAAATTGTTGGGATTTCAAATGGTGCCTATTTTAGCTGTATTTTACGTATGGAACTACACTTTATGTTTGTTTGGTCAACACTTAACAATGCTCAGCAAGAATTTTAATAATAAGCAGCTTCATCTGTTGGTTTCTAGAACCTCACTTTTGCTGTCGCTTCAGGGAGATTATTATTGGGGTAAATAAAACTTAATTTTTTCTCCTCGTTGGATTAGAGGAGGGATTAGACAATGTCATACTAGCTTTTAATGGTTGGAAAGTTGAATTCCAACCAGTTCATTAAGAGTTCACGTTGTTGGTATTAGCTCATTGAGTCCATTTATAGGTCTATCGTGCTCTTATAGTCTTATTAATTTTTGGAAGATAGGGACAATTGCAATTGGTGATAAGTTGAGGGAAGCCGTTTTAGATGGTCCAGTCAAACGTTAGAGACCATTGGTGACAAGATGGAGAAAAGTTGTTTAACATGGTTTTATCTTGTGATAGAAGATGATAGTTGCACCAATAAGGACTAAGGAGTGATCTGGTGTAAATTGAGGGTACTACAAAACTAGAGGAGGGTGAAAAAGAAGTGTATTAAAATAGAGACTGGGAAAGGAGGAACAGAGGATTTGTCCTTGATAGAGAGGAATGGTGAAACAGGATTCATGTAGCCTGTGGTTGTATGTTAAAGACACAACAAAAGATATGAAGTTGGAAACAATATTAGCAAAGATGTCATTTCTTTCCATTAAATGGATTTTCATGTAAACAGTACTCCAAATGGCAAGAGTTCTATCAAAAATATTTGCAAAACCATCTGCTATGTCATAATAACTTCTAATTACTGTCACCCAAGTTACTTTTAAATGTGTAATATAGCTAGTAGTTTTCTGTTTCAGATTTCTTCAACCCTATTGAAGAGAAGGCTTTATTAGAAAAAAAGTAGAGATATGAAGCTTTAAAATGGGAACTAAAATTTCATTGTTAACCACCATTAGGGATCCATTGTGCACATTCCACAATAAGCTCATTCTTTTATTCTATTTTTTTGAAAAAGTACAGTATCATCTTATTTTATTAATAATAAAAAGTATACGTGATCCTCTACAAAGAGTTTCTGTACATTATACACATTCACTAGGGACTGCCAAAAAAGTCTGTTCTCAAAACAGATGAAGAAAATTCCTCTCCTCTAAAACATTTGTGAGTAGATATCCCGCTTTTGGTTAGTTTTACTAAAATTTTAATTACTGATTCGGACATAAGAAACTTATTCTAGAGCATGAGCTTTCTGAAAGATGAAAAGGAAATGGAGATCCACTATTATCTAGAACCTTAGATTGCCTAACATCAGTGAGTGGATATGCCAATTGTGATTTGCAACTTGGCCAGCAGAGTAAGAAAAGTTGTGCCAAGATGGGGTTGCATGTTAACCTAATTTCTCTAGATATCCAGTTTAAAAAAAATGTGCTAAACTTCTACATATTCATCTTGTATTGGTTATCAAGATTAGTTCGCATTAAAACCTGTTTGAGCCTAGATTTAGACTTACTTCCACGCTTCTCTGTAAAAAAAAAAAAAATACAAGAAGAATAAAGAAGATTTTCCAGGGAACCTTCTTCCTTTGAATATAACATAGTTTCCCTATTGAAAAACCTGGTTGTGCATTTTACAACCATACTGAAATTGCCTTAACTAACTTTTTATACATGGTGCTTTATGGATTTGTACTCAAGACATGTGTACAGGAAATCATCATCATCTAAGCCTTATCACGACTATATGGGGTTGGCTTCATGAATCCAATAAAGACAAATAATTCAAAGCGGAAAACCTTGCAACTGATAAAGACAAATAATTAAATGAAAGCTATGTTATCTTCCATTACATAAAATGCTATTGGGATTATCTTTCCATCACTATAAAAAGGTCAAAGTGGAAAACCATGCAACTGATAGGGACAAATAACTGAATGAAAGCTATTGTGGCATTACTGACCTTGCAAGTCAATTACGCATTAGTTGGGAATATGATGTAGCAGAATGCTAAATTGCACAATCATATGGATTCTATCATTTTTATCTTATATTACATAAAATGCTGTTAGGATTATCTTTCTGTAGCTATTATGACCATCTAAACCTCCTATTGGAGATTATTGTGTAATATTGCCAAATTGTCAATGTATTATCCATTTCTTCATACCACAATAAGAATTATTATATTTTTCAGCCATCTAATAAACCTCTTAAGATGCTAATATACACAACTTACATACCACATTTGCCTCTACATAAGTGGCAGTTCTGTGGAATTATTCACTTCAAAACCCACAGTTTCCATTGCAATGAGTCATTATTTCAGGAATTCGGAATTGGTTATTTTCTGCACCAATGACTGACTTTTGTGGAACATTGCCTTGTATTTTTCCTTATATTAAGTTTAAAGTGCTGAGGTACATCTCCCTTATCTGATATGCTTGTAAACTTTGGCATTTTTCCTACAGATTTTGATATGTCCGATGCTCAGAGAGAACATGCTTCTGCTGTTGAATGCTTTATTCCAAGTTTAGCAGCTCTTAGAGTTAGGCTTTGCCCAAGTAATATGAATGAGGGACAATTTTGGATGATATATTTCATTATGTTGTATCCAAAGATGAATGAGAATGAGCGCAAGCTTCTATTAACACCCCAGGCAAGTTTTCTTTATACCTGAATACATGGGTGCAGTGTCTTGTCAAACACTTCAAAATTTTTAGTATCAATTCCATGTAGGAAACCATTTTTTTCTCTCAAACCATGTCAGATGCCTATGTACCCTTATCCTTGCCATATCTGAGTATGATAGATTAGCGTGCATACTCTAACAAAAAATTGCAGTTCTTTTTTACTTTTGAATTTGGTATTATAAACTTAGGTGGTTATGGTATTCTATTCAAGAAGATAGAAAATGCCATTTGTTATAGCCTGAAAGTCTATGATAAATAAGTAAACATATCCCACTAATAAAACAACATGAAGAAGAAAAGGACCTTTCAATGTATGTCTGGGAACCCAGGTGATTATGGTTTTAAGTCCTTACATGCAAACTCATCAATGTGCTCTAAATGAAAATTGCAATTAACTTGTATCAAGGGAAATTCAGAGACAACTTGTGTTGTGAAATAGGTAACCACACCAGCATACTGATTATTTGGTTCATAGTTTACCTCTTAGATGAATGATAACCTTAATTGATACCAATCAGTTGATTCTAATCACCCAATTGGATAAGGTTTGTAGTCATCCTGAAGCAATACCATTTGAGGTCAGACAGCTAACCAGGTGGTTAGAACCATTTATTCATTGTTTCAACCACCCAATCTGTAGTGTATAACTTTTGATTGTACAGATCTAAGTTTCAGATAGCATCTATGGTGATCTCATCAATCCAAGATCAAAAGCATACAACCATATGGCAAAGACAGCAGCTGGATATAACTAATTTTAGTTGCATCACCGGATGCTACTCAATTATCTTTTACTCTCTAGACATGAATCCGTGAGTCTCCTATTGACAGTTCTTTGAGTGCTCAACTAAATGAATCAATAAGACAACTAGAGAGATCAATTGGGTTTTCCATAGTAGCCCTTCTGTTCATATGTGGCTTTCACACTTGGGGTGACAATGGACCAGATTTGGGTTGGACGGTTGGACATCAAAATTAAATTGAATGGATTGGACAGTCCAAAATTTTACAATGGGCTGGACCAGTCCACATTTCATGGTTTGATGTAATTAGTGGACCTAAACGGACACATCCAAGGAATCCATGGACGGATTGAAAGTACTAACCAAATGCAAAAGCTTGTAGGTTTTCTCCAGTGAACTCTCTTTCTCTGTGACGGTTCCCTCTCTCCACTGACATGAACAGTATTGTCTTTGAACTCAAAATCTTGAACTGTGTTGAATTCGGCAGAAAAATCCTGTTCTTGCTCCATAGGATTAACCAAGTGGGAAATGATTTTCAGAGCTTGGTTTCAAAACATAGGATTAATCATTCTTGCCCTTGCTCTCCATTATCATAATGGTGACAACCAAGCATCCCGTAAGGCAACCATCTTTTTTTTTTGATAGATAAAGGTTATTTTATTAAGCAGCACAAAAGATACATATTACAAATTCCCCACAAAGAGGAGTGAGATGCTGCGTCTAAACTATATCATAAAGCTTATAAATGAGCCCAAAAAAACTGATTTTTATGTACCCCCTTGTTTGGCTGAAGAATCTTCCAACCCATTTGCCGATCTTCTTTCCCATTGAATTTGCACTGACATATTTGATGTTAACCATCTGAACCTTCTCAAAGCCCCTCTGTAGGACCCTGCTGCCACTTCCGGCTCTTTTAACCACCCAACAACCAATTTCGAGTCACCTTCAATGATTAGTGTTCCATTGCCATCTCCTTAGCAACCTCTGCTCCTTTTAGCACTGCTTGAAGTTTTGCATTGACTGAATCTCCCACACCTATAGGACCAGAATATAAAGCTAAGATTTGGCCCTCAGAATCTCTGAATACTCCCCCATTTCTAGACAGCCCTGGATTATTTAGGCTGCTGCCATCGAAATTCTCGAATGTCATCTGGTTACCCTCCCAATTTTAAATTGCAGCTGCAGGATTCTAGTACTTCTCTATCCTGTTTTAGTCTCTCCATATTTTCCATCTCATCCTAGAGGAATTGATTTATGAGTTTGAGTGCTTGTTGGGGGAAAAAATTAAGATCTGAACGGCAACTCTGTATTTTCCACATGCAATTCTGTATTTTCCATCTAAGGTCTACAATTGAACAGACCTGAACTGCAACATGATCAAAATCTTACTCTGCTGCAATCTGATTTCAACCTAGCCCCTAGAAATTGCAACACCAACTGAAGCAGCTGCATTGACACACCTATAAATGCCATATTTGGGAGGGAGAAACCCTTTCCATTTGTTGTTTCTCTCCATTTTCTGAAATTTTTACAATTCTTTCTGAAATATTTGATATTTTCTATAATTTATTATAATTTTGAGATTTCTGTTATTTCAATATTTTTTTTGGATTGGATGGGCTCCAATCCAATCCATTTGCATTAAAATGGACTGGATTGGACCCTCTATCCGTTTTATTCGGATTGAATTGGGTTTAGACTGCCCATCATTGGACACACATTGGATTGGGTCAGGTTGGAGCACAACATGTCCAATTGACACCCCTATTTCACACAAATGGATATGTTGAAGCTTAGAGCTGCTCAGCTGCATATGTTGAAGAGGTGTCATCATTTTCTTTTGGTTGTATGACTACATTAATAGGTGAAGCAAGGTATTGCAATTCCACTTTAGTTTTTCCTAGGGGTGCAAATCAGGTACCCAATTTGAAGAGTTTACGCTGCATCTGGCCTGGGCTTTTTGGGCTGGGCCCTTTGAAATTTTAACAATTTCCCAACCTGAGCCCTGCCCACCCAAGTTGCACCTCTAGTTTTTTTCCACTACAAGTGGTTTGACTCCACTTATAGGTCCCTCTTTAGTTCATTCAGTATCTTCTTCTTCTCTCTTTCCTCTCTCCACCCCCACTTTAACCCAACTTAGAACAGCCTTAATCCCTAACTATATGGGGGCCACTCTACAAATCCTTTTTCCTCATTTCAGTCTTTCAAGGGCTCTCTCTGTCAAAGAAAATGAAGAAATACAAAAATGAAATCCCAAATCCTTTTTCCCCACATCTCCTCCGCCACCCCC